GAGAGGTCTTTGAGGGAACCAAGGAGGATTCCTTGACCAAGAGGGCGTTTGAGCTAAGGATTGAAGGGTGGGCAAGGTTTCAACTCACGGCAAGGGAGAAGGGGCCACTCCAGGCAGAAGGAAAAATAGAAGCCAAGGTATGGGGACAACACAGCTACGGGTGTCTGTGGGAAACTCTGAAAGTTCCACTTTGGCTACGGGGTAGGATGAGTGAGGGGGCCAGTGCGAGGCAGATTTGGAAAGCAATGGGCCCCTCTGTATGTCCCTAAGAGTGTGTTCGTGGGATATCCAGGAGACAGAGAGAAGCCTGCTGGGATATTCCAGTCCCCAGGGGGACTCACCGGATGCCATACCGCATCGTCCCATCTGGGTGAAGCTGGAACATGCGATTTTCCACTGTCACATCATGCACAAAAGCATCCTTGCTGTTCAGGAAGTAACAGTCGGGGACCCACAATTTCTCATGCATCCGATAGTCCAGGGTCAGGTTCAGGTTGGTCTCAAAGTAGGATAAGCGTGAATCTTTCCAGGTCTGATGAAAAAACATCGTGATGGTGTAGTCCTGGGGAGAGCAAGGAAATCCCAGGAAGTTAGTAAGTTAGGTTGTCCAGCTCTCTGTCCTGTGTGTGTGTGNGTGTGTGTGTGTGTGTGTGTCCTTCCTATGAATCTTACATGCTGCGTTAAACAGCCCATGCCCCCTTTAAATGAAACAGGTGTGACCGGTGACCTGCTCCCTGCAAGCTTTGTCATCCTCTAATTCCACAGCCTTGGTCCATGGGAAAGTAGATGGAGAAAGAAGGGATGGAGCAGGAGGAGCGCAGAGAAAGAGAAACCCACAGATTAGACTTGGACCCCAGGAGCTACTTCTTAGAGACATTTTCTGAGCTAAACTGATCTCTCACACGTGTCTTTAGAGACGGTCTGTAAGAGATGACGCTGTGAGGGCAGCCTTGGGGACAGCCTGCTATGCTATAACTAGACCAGGGAAGGGTTGCAGCATGCACGCACTCTGTAGGTCCAGACAGCCATGGGCCAGACACCCACACCACGCACACCCCTCCCCTTCCATCTCTCCGTCCCTGCACAGGAAGAAAAGACACACACACCAAGAACAGAACGAATACGATGCTGAGGTGCAGGGAGAGNGTTAGATTTTATTGCCTACATACGTATTTCTAGAAAACATATTGCTTAGTTGGTCTTATTTTTTGAATTTTATTCAAATGGAATCATATTGCATGCATTCCTAATTTCCTTTTTTCACTTGACATTATATTTGTGGGATTGGTTTAGGTTGACGTGTGTAACTATAAGTTGTTCACTCGCATTGCTGGATAACATACCTGTATATGACTACATCAAGCATGTTATCATGGGAATACACCACACATACCAAAACCGTGATGAAATAAAAATGACCAAGTGACAGTTCCAGTTGACAGCCCTGCCAAGGGCCAAGAGCAGTGAGGGCTCCCAGTGCTTCTGCCTCACTGACATCAGTACCGTCTGACTTTTGATCTTTGCCAATCTGCTGAGAATGTAACTGGCTTTCACTGGGTTTTATGCATAGTTTGCATTTCACA